TTTGGGGGGGGGGGGTGCGGGTGTCTTTTGCAGGTGGATTTCTGTAGGGTTTCTTGATGAGGGGCTTTCAGTGTTTCTATGACTCCATGATTCTATGCAAAGAGCTTTAAACTTTACACCCGTGAAACCCCAACTCGAAACCCTATGCCAGACCCGAAGCTTTGTGCGGGTATTTGTGGAGCTTCACCACGAACCTGTCGATTGAGGGTCTTCTAGGGTCCTGCAGGTAGTTTAAGGTAGATTAAGATAAACAAGGATCCCTCTATTCAAAAGTTTAGGGCCCAGGGCCGATCTAGGGTCCCTTCAAAGGGCTTTTCTATTTATCAGATGCTACGCAGGAATTCTACCAAACCATGTGGGTGGCTCTCGTAGCTGAGGTTCCATTCTCGGATACGCTGTATCAAGGACAAAGGTTGAATTCCCACTCCAAAACCAACCCTAAACCCCAAACCCCAAACCCTAAACCCTACACCCCAAACCCTAGACCCCAAACCCCAAAACCCAAACCCGAAACCCGAAACCCTAAACCCCCTAAGCCCAAAACCCTAAACCCCAAACCCCAAACCCTAAACCCCAAACCCTGCCCCGACTCCACAAGTCCGGGAGCGAGGCTCGACCCGTTGCCGGGTAAAAGCTGGAGCGACTGGCAAGTTGCCCCTTGGGCCTTCTTCGGGTAGGCTCTTAGGACTGGGTTTAGGGTTTAGTAGGGTTTAGGGTTTAGGGTGTTTAGGACTTTAACTTTTTTTTGGGGGGTTTCTATATGAGCTAATTATAGTAACTCGGCTAAAAGCTGAATTTTTAGGAGGGGTTCAGAAGTCAGCCCAAGGACCGTGTCCTTCTTGCCCTTTGAGGCCTGGGAGCAACGCGTTACAAGTGGGTTCTGCAAGGGTTTTCGGGTGCAGGGGTTAGGGTCGAGGGGTTTAGGGTTTCGGGTTTTAGAGTAGGTTCCCCTCAATGCTTACTATTAAGGCCTCAATACAGGGGCCGTAATCATCAGAATAGAGTTACTACAGGGTTCTATAGTGGTCCCAGAGACTCCGATATCCCTTTTTTTAAGGAATATACCTTAAATCATATTAAGGATTCTACTATAATTTAAGGAATATTCCTTAATTAAGGAATATTGGAGTCTCTGGGGTTGCTGTTGGGGTTTGGGGTTTCGAGGGCTGGAGGCAGAAATTTTGGTTCAGGCCGTGGGTCGGGGCATTCGGGTGGAGGGGTCTGTTTTCGGGTTTAGGGTTTAGGGTTTAGGGTTTTATACCCTCTGCCCTGCCGTTTCCTCGGAGGCACCGGCGCACTTCACGGCCCTGTTGGGGGTGTTCGACTCGAAGGCGCGGGGGCTCTGGTCAGGTGATAATCAGTGCAGAGCCACGGCTTAGGGTTTAGGGTTTAAGTTTTAGGGTTTAGGGGTTTAGGAGTTTTGGGTTGAGGGGTCTGGGTTTAGGGGTTCAGGGGTTTAGGGTTTAGAGGTCTAGGGTACAGTACCAAGCCGCAATACTTCCGCCTTTCTTTTGCAAGCCGGGCGTCGGACATGACCTTCATTCCGAAGCGACTGCACCAATAATACGGTTTAGGGTTTAGGGTTTAGGGTTTAGGGTTACGGTTTAGGGTTTAGGGTTTAGGGTTTAGGGTTTAGCTTGGCAGGCCGGGGAGTACTACTACGAGCTGATGGGCACCTCCTCTCCACCCTTGCCACTGGAAACGTATAAGATGCAAGTGAAGGCGGAGGCATCGGGGACGAAGGACGGGGACGGTGTCTGGTGACCCTGGTGTTTAGGGAAGTAGGCTGTGGGCTTCAAGGTTTTTGTGTGTTCTGAACTTGGGAGAGCCCCTAAACCCTAAACCCTAAACCCTAAACCCCAAACCCTAACCCCTTAAATCCAAAACCCCCCTGGCGCGCAGGACATCATCCTGCCGCTGCGAAACATGCAGGTCGAGCGTGCTCGCACCTGGCTGCAGAACCGGGGCGCTGGACCTCCGAATCCACCGGACTACATCAACTACGAGCCTTGCGTTAGGCTTGAGCAGGCTTGAGGGCCTTTAGGGTTTAGGGTTTAGGGTCTAGGGGTTAGGGTTTAGGGTTTAGGGGTTTAGGGGTTTAGGGTTTAGGGTTTTAGGGGTTTAGGTTCATATAGCAGTTAAGTACAGGTTCCTTATATGTCACACTGGCAGAAATGAGAACCAGGATTTGAAGGCCCAGTGGATTAAATCTATAGCAACCTTTAGCACCAGAAAATGCACAATCATGGGCTCAAAATCAACCCTAAACCCTAAACCCTAAACCCTAATCTAGCATCAGAAAAAGCACAATCCTAAGCACCAAGTTTAGCACCAGAAAAAGCACAATCATGAGCACCAAATGTAGCATCATAAAAGCACAATCATGAGCACAAAGTTTACAATCATGAGCACAAAGTTTAGCACCAGACAAAGCACAATCATGAGCACCAAATGTAGCACCAGACAAAGCACAATCATGAGCACAAAGTTTAGTACCAGAAATTGTGGTTTTGCTTGTGCTTTTTTTGTTGTGCTTCTGTTTGTGGTGACTGATACTAGGGCCGGCGCCATTTAAAGGTTTAGGGGTCTAGGGGTGACCCGGCAGTCGCAATAGGCCTGGGGTTTAGGGGAGTAGGGTTTAGGGTTTAGCTACGTAGAGAGCACATGTAGCGATTTTGCGTTTTTGAAACCGCAGAAGTTGAGCTTGAGGCATCATAGACACATTCCCTGACATGGTGTGTCCCACTCTGGCGCTCAGGACGTGAAGGTCTCATCGCCGTACTACAACGCCCCGAAGCAGGCACCTGGTTTAGGGTTTAGGGTTTAGGGTTTAGGGACCTACCTGAGGGCGCTTGCTCGCTTGGGTTGAAGGCCCTGGCTTGAGGCAATGCCAAGGGTTTAGGGTTTAGGGTTTTGAGGTAGCATGGGTGATGTTCCTAAACCCTCAACCCTAAACCCTAAACCTCTGCTGCTGTGGAGAAAGGGGGCCATTGCACTAAAAAAAACCCTAAACCTCGGAGCGCAAGTGGATCTAGCTGCTGCTTACCAGGGCTTACCTTCAGCTCTGAGTCCTCAACCCTACCCCGACCCCTCCATGCATCGGGAGGTGAGCATCTACAACGGAAATGCTGCCGGTGTGCCGGCCTTGGGTAGGCATCACCGGCCGTGACCAAGCAATCAGGGACTGTCAGGGACCCTAACATGGAAGACAGTAGGGGAGATCCTTCATGGGACCTTCAGGACGAGATGGTTGATGTGTCAGACCCTGCCTAAACGAAACCCCAAGCCTGGAAACCGAAACCCTAAACCCTAAACCCTAAAAACCTAAACCCCTAAACAAAAGTCCGTAAGCCCCTTTCTGCCCGTCTTGGACTACCCAAAACGAAAGCTCCAAACCCCAATTACTAAGCCCAATCCTGAACGCAGAACCCCAAACCCCAAAGCTCAAACCCTAAGCCCTAGGCCCTAAACCCAAGCTCCAAACCCCAAGCCCTAAACACTAAGCCTAAACCCTAAACCCAAGGCCTTAAACCCGAAACCCTAAACCCTAAACCCAAAGCCGGAGCCCCAAGCTTGCTGTCTCTAAGGGCAAAGGCGAGGGCAAAGGCCGCGGACCAGCGGCAGATCGGTCCCAGGCTACCGGCAATGGCTCTCTCTGTCCTTTAAAGGAATCCTTATGAGCCCCTTTAATCAGAGAAGGCATCGAGGATATGCATGTGTATATATATATATACACACACCATTGTCATCTATGCATGCATACATGCATACATACATACATACATACATACATACATACATACGTACGCACATACATACATACATACATACATACATACATACAGACATACATCCATGCATACATACATACATACATA